TTCTTACTGGTCTAAATGGTAGTCTTGTACATCAGAAGTTGTCAATATGTGTGACTTTGTGATCGAAGCTAAAGTCGTTCGGGAACCAGTTAGACTCAACGCCTTCAGCAATAAAGCTGGCTCTAAGCTAGGGAGCTAGTTTTACTTTACAATTCTCAGTTGAATTGCGGTTTATGTCCAACAGTCCAAAAATTTTCAAATTGGTCTGGTATTAAGGTGTATTGAGATGAGCCCAATGTAAGCATCCGTAAAGGTCTCAATGCAAAATATTTGTAAACATTTACTGTTACAAAGTTTGCTCAATGTTCAATTTATGAGCTGGGTGTGGTGTTTAAAAACAGTTCAATGGGAAAATGATGAGCGTCAAACAACCGTTGTTGACAACACATACAAAATATTAAAACTAATTGAAAGAAATTGAAAGAAATTGAATTGACTCCACCCTAATATCTCATCTTCTATACAAAATAATATACTTCTATCAAATTAAAGGGATTGTAAAAAGGTTTTCGAAATTTTTTATGTGTATACTAGAAACTGATAGCATCAATTTGCACTATTGAAATTTTCAATCGGACATCTGTGGTCCATGCAATTCTGCTAAAACTAAGTGTTTTATGACATCACCAATTGCAAAATATGCTTGTATCATAAGGCCCTTTGTAATTATGATGTCATCAAACACATAGTTTTAGTGGAATTGCAGGAACCACAGACATGTGATTGTGCAAAAGGATGCTATCAGTGTCCCAGATAAACATAAAAATTTAGAAAACCTCTTTACAATCCCTTTAAATGTGGGGTTGGGTGTAAAATGTCTTGGACAAAGGATTCATATCAACTAATTAGGCCTGCGTCATAACTGAAAACTGACATAGACAAGTACTTTATTAGTCTATTTACCCATTAACAAACTTTTTCTTTGCGCTCCACTTACACCATTTACCCTTTTAAACAGAGGAAATAATTTTACCTGATTGGCCAGTGAATCAGTGCATACTAACTAATTAGACCTGCCTTATCAAGAGAAAACTGACATGGACATGTACACTGGTTAAAAAAAACACCTTTTCTTTGTGCTCCATTACTAGGTCCATAGGTTGTCAATAGTAACAACAGTTAAAGTTGCAAGTCTACCATCATTTTGATCCTCATCTTGGTCGACAGGATAGGCATCAATGCCGATTGTGCAACTTTTAATACCGGTACCCTACCCTATGTCAACAAAAGTATATCAGGGGAGTAGGGACCAAAATAATACAGACTTAGATGATGTCCGGTATTTTGTAGTTAAAGGGACAGCTGCGCCACTTTCTTTTGACCAATTGTATCTTAGTCACAGAATTTTTAGCTAAGCTTATCAGTAATAGTGTTCACAGCTTACCATCAACATTTGAGTCTTCAAATCCATGTGTGTCCAGAATTATCCGTGTAAAGTTAAAGCTAGACTTAGTCATATAAATAGAAAAGAAATATATTGAAATAGTAAGTGAAACTCCTGTTTCAGATATTTTAGAAGGAATTATGCAATTTTCATGCATTTGTAGTATATCTTAAGGATATTTACATATATTCAAGACTCAAATCAACCCCTTAAAACGGCGAATCTGTTCCCTTAAATCATGCAAGGTGTTTCGATTCAAAGCTTAACACCCAAGGTTAGGTCATAAAGTATTTCTATAATGCCTGAAGATATGCAAATTATAACATATCTTTCATTTCAGTTGCAAACAATATAACATTTATGTGTATAAGTGGAAGTCATAGATCACTGGGTAATCAATCTAAAAATAGTCTCTTTTATACCAGTGACACATAATACTAACTTGTTTATCAAGGTAAAGAATGAATTGAAACTGGGTTACTGAAACATGAAATGAATGGAGTTTTGCCTCCATCTCTTCTGCACCTTATTGGGCTAATGAAGACAATGCACTGCAGTGGCAAATGAGGGAAATAAGGATTGGACAGTGCTCAGTATTTGCCTTATAAATCCTTTTCAATTTCCAACCGGCTAAGGATCCCGAAGTCTACAGGCTATATCACACAGGACCTCGGGTTATTGTTTCGTTGAATGAACTTCAAACTTTCTATATGTTAGACCCTTCAACCTGTATCACTGACAAGGGGGAAACTGGGTTAAAAAAAACTGAAGTTATTAACTCCACCTATGCCAAGATTGGACCTTGAACCCTTACTAAGTCACTGTGTCTCCGTTCGTTCGTTACTGAAACAGTCTATTGACTACTGATAGGATGATATGATGATGCATATCAACTCATCCGTGTTACTATCAAAATAAGCATGACTCACAAAACTGAAAAGAATCTTTCAGTGATTTTGCTGTGTCATCTAAAGATAGATATTAATCTTACTAGATGACTGTGTTTAAAAATCAGATGATGGGATATACCTGACTAACTGGTGTCAATACATTGTCTTCTGTACCCTTAAAGGGAAAGTCTTTGCAAACTTAGGTTTTGATAGTATACCAAACTAAGTGGGATATTAATCCATCCCATGGACCTTTCTATATTTATTGATAATTGATAACATAAATTTACAACATTCCAATTTTCAATCAGAAGTCTGTGGTTCTTGTAATTCTACTAAAACTAAGTGTTTGATGACATTACTAATCGGGAAGGCCTTTTATGATATAACATTATTACAAACACTTAGTTATAGTAGAATTGTAAGAACTTAAGACATCAGATTGAAAATTGGAATGTTGCAAATTGATGCTATCAGTAATAATTTAGAAAACCTCTATACAATCTCTTTAAACTTTTAAAATTGTTATTTATTTGTCAAGTCCATCATCTGGTTAATCAGATATTTTGATGGAAAGTTTCCAGGATAGTCTGATCTTCAAATTTTTTTATCTTCACTCTTAGACTATGATATATATTTATATGTCAAACTCCACAATGTATAAACATATAAAAACTTCTCAAACAACAGTATGATTCAACAAAGAGTGAGAAGAAAATAAAGAGATGTTTTTTAGGGCGTGGTTATATATTACGGACCAGGGCCTAATTCTCCAAAACTTAAATAAGATAAAATCCAGATTATAAGAAATACAGTAAAACTCAACTTAAAATTGTACAAATGAATGCAACACTAAAATCATCTTTAAAGTTAAAGTAGAGCTGCTTGGTTGAAACATGAAAGCATTAGGTCTAGCCTGACAAATAAAACCAGGCACAAAATCAAATAGAAATAGACTTACCTCTAGAGGCTGGGCAGGTGAAGTTTGGGGGTGCAGAAAGTGTGGCATGTAGTGGCAAATGACCACCCCCACTGCTGCCACTTTTACCACTACCACTGTGAGCACTATGAGGTTGTAACTGTCCAAATCCGCTATTCAAAAACAACGAATTGGCATCACTACTGGCTGAGGTTTGATCTAAATGTATCATACTGCGGTTCCATCTTCCGTCGTGCACAGAGGTTTGGTTGGCAGGACTATTCCATTGGTTAGCGGCACTAGGGAGAGAATTGGTTCTACTGTTCCAGGCTTTTAGCGAAGTCTGTGTTGAGTTGGACCAACCACTAGCTATCTGTCCTGTATTTGATGAAGATCGACTAGTCCATTGCTGTACTTCACCGTAAGTTTGCACAGTTGGAATTTGAGATGTATTTCCGTCCCGTAATGGCGTGGAATTGTCCAACACGAAGTTTTTGTCACTGGTTAGTTGGGAGACAGACGGGTCCTGATAAAAAGTTGTTTTGGGGCTGGGGTGTTGGGAGGTGTTACAATTGGGTAGTATTTGACTGTTATCAGATGGTGAAGCTTGCTGTAATGTAATATCATGGACATGCCCGTTACTCGCAGGGGACAGGGAGTCTGAGGTCTGAGCACCGGTAGGGAGCCCAGCACTAGCTTCTTGAGAGTAAGCATTACCCAACTCTTGTAACTGGTTTTGACGTGTATTGTTAATGCTATAGGTATAACGCTCTTCCAAATATCCTAACCACATTCTGAACTTTGACCTTTCCTCGGCGGTAAAGGCAGGGTGTATGAGAGAGTATGATAGCAACTGCCTACTCTCTTCAATTTCAACTCCTTTCTCAATACAATGAGATAAAGCACTATGTATGATAGTAAGGTATTCCTGTTTAGCGGCCATATTACCACACTGTAATAACGGTAAATACTGGACTAATTTCGATATCACTTTATCTTTAGATTCATTGCTCAACTGGCTCACCATAACTGAAATAAATCATAATACACATAATTAATCCTGTCAACACTAGCAACTACTCACATAAATTACATGATTTATACCAGAGCAGCCGGTGAAGCAGACACATATTTACATCTTACTTTTTAAGTTATCTTACTAGGGGTTTACAGGGTATAGGACTTTTTATATTTGACTTACACCCAAGCGTTCGAACCTTCATATCAGCCTCTGATAGATATTTTTGAAAATTATAAGCTAGTACTATCCCAGACTGAAGCCTCTGATAGCTATTTGGACTGATGTAGAGACAGAATTAACAACCCTGTTAAATGGGGACATTCTGCATCTCTGCAGATGCGGGGGTTTCAAACCTATTTAGATACCCAGGTATATTATGAAAGTGAGTATTTTTATAGTAGAGTCATACCATCATTTTCTCCCTGCACCATTTATGTTTTGGCCAAACTAATCTAGCATCGGTCATTTAAAACTATGCGCGCAGCCAAAAGTTCAATAGTCACAGAGTCAAGTGATACTAACAAAACGAAAGTTATGGTGATGCCCAACACTAATTAACAATCATCTTAAAAGTAATTCAATATTAAGTTAGAGTAAACACAACTTTGGAGGTGTTGAAAATCCCCATACAGAAGAGTCTTTTTCTACTGACTCTACTCCAGCTGACAACTGAAGCCTGAATAGAGGTAGATGCTTCGGACTAGAACTATCCAAGATTGTCAATATCCAGCTTAGATCCAGGCCGTGTTTCTCAAAAGATTTAACCTTCAGAATGTGTCATAAGTCTGGAATTTTACATTGAAATTACAACCAAATTGATCTTATGCTTTTTTGATTGGGAAAGGAGCCCAGACTAAGAAGATCAAGACAAATATTTTGTCAAGCTGATAGACAAAATAACAAAACAGCATAGCTATAATAAATTTTAGACATTTTTATTTAAGAAAAACATCCCCGCCTTCAATTAGAGTCAAATTCTAACGAAATTTTCTAAGAGTTAAAAATGTCAATAAAATTAAAGTCAATTATCTTGAAATAAAAAGTTGTCTGATGCACAAATGATGTTGATTTTATCTTCAACAGTATGAGTCATTGTTTTCTAATGGAATGATGCTGATCGATGCAGTTTAATGAATGAATGAAACAGAATGATCTACTTGTAAAGACCTACAGGTCAGTGGCCAGGGGGGCAGAATAGATGCTTGGCCAGGCCTCCCCCCTTCCACATTCAATTTTATTTATGAATTTACATAGTGAAAGAATGGTCTGTGCCCCTCCCTCCACCCCCTAGAAACTTTTGTGCCCCCCCTCAGCCCCCTCACTTGATATTTCCTACAAACACCACTGCAACAGTTCCTGTTCAAAATTCATTGAATAGCGTGTGAATAAATTACAATTCTGATTAATTATTCTAGATTTTGTTATTGTATTTCATTTCAAGTCAATATTTCATCTACTAGGAGTTTAAAAGAGGAAACCCACATTTATATCAAATGTCATGAAATTAAAAAAACTTACTATCAAAAACACGTCATCAGTTCATCATTGGACCATTTTTTGATCAATTTTTTTTAAAAAAGGATAAGTTATTGTTAGAAAATAAGGCTGGGCAAACACACCTTTCAGCAATATGAATCCTATTTTGACTATGTAATTGTGTTAATTTAGGACATAATTTGACAAATAATTTATCAACAATTGACAGTTTGAACTCACAAGTCACACACTTCCCTGTTCAGGACGGCCATAATTCATTCATAAATTAAACTCTAAATGGTAGAAGGAGGGGCAGTTGTAACAGATAATATCTATAAATGAGCGAAATGTTGTATGCCTGTATGAACTATCACTGAACATTTTTGTAGAAATGCAAGTGATACCAATAGCTGTGATTAACCACTCCTTTTTATCACGAGGTTCTATAGCAGATGTTCTATAGCAGATGTTTTATAACACAGTTGGTTAGAGCCTTGGTTCTTAACATGATATCATTTGCTTGATAACATCAAGCGAATGAATGGTGGCTGTGAGTTCCTAAATTCCTGAGTGGGGGGAAGGGTGAGAGTGGTTTGCACCCCCAATTGTACCCCCACTTTATTTTCAACAAATCTAAATGTCTACCTTTTTTCTCCAAAATATGTCTCAGAATGCACAAAATCAATTCATTTTTTCAAAACTTTTCTTGAAAGAACCCACTAAGATGCTCTTTGAGAGGCTTGCTATTACGACACCACAAACATTTAAATTCAGCCTCAGCAGTTGTCCCCCCATTGAGTCAGTCTGCCCCCAGTCTCAATAGTCTTGCGCTGCCACTGAGCTGGATATAGATAACTCGTGAAAGAATCTGGTAGAAAGAATCCTTAATTGTGACTAAGCTTATATCCAATTCAGACCTAAAATTTGTCAAAATCCAGGCAGTCAGTGTTTACGGAAGTAGGGCAATTTTGATTCAGAGATTCCCTTAATTTTTAGGCCTGCAATTACGAAGTAGTGAGTTGCTAAAATTGAGAAAAAATAAAAAAATTCTAAAAGTCTCATACTTACTTGGATCATTGGTTTGTTTTTCTAGGGTCTGTATCTCGGCACAGTCTAATAAACTCTGCTGTAAAACGTGTTCCAGAAACTTGGCTTGTGTTAACGTTAATTTCTTCAGTAACGAATACAACGCTACAGTTTGTTCACATTCGCTCCAGTTATTAAACCAAGTAGTAACCAAGTTAACTTGGTCTCGAAAATTATTTGCTTTCATTTTTCTTGATTTCTTCCCTATCAAGCTTCTCCTTTCAATTCTTATTAATTGTTCATTTATGATTTTGTGGGAGAAATGCTGGAATTCTACTCCACAAATCTTCCATGATTATCTAATATCAGTTGGCTTTAATCTTCAAAACTCACTTCATCTGAAATATCAAAATATTGTGGATGTTTAGTAAAGGGGCACTTTATCAAAGGAAAGGTGAACAATGGGAACGATAGAAATTCAATAGCAAGATTGAGCAATGCCAGTTATAATGCTGCATATTTGAACACTTACTGAAATAAAACAGGTTTGATACACATTGTTAGTCTCAGAAATATCTTTAAAAAGACTGTAAAATGGGTTTTCTTAACAAGTTAGGTGTATTCAAAATAATATTTAGTTTTAGAGGAATCACAGACGTCAAGCGGAAACTGGAATGGTTGAAATTAATGCTATCAATATCCCCAATATACATAAAATGGTTACAAAAACCTCTTTACAATCCCTGAAAAAAATCACAAATAAGATATGAGTTGAGATAGTAAGTCTATTGTTGATTACAGTGGATCCCAAATGATTTAAAAAAATAATAATATAGATCAGAAACAATAATAGATATTTTCACTGTTTAAACTGTGAGATTTAGAAATATTAAACTGGATCTATAGTATAAACATATAGTTACTCAGAGTTTCACACTGTGTGCTCTTCTGCAGACAATATAATTTCAAGTCCTCTCATTAGACCTCAGATGATGATGATTAATCTCAATATAGACTTTATTACAACATAACCTGTTAAAAAACCTGTCAATAGGTGTGGTATATCAGGTCAATGTTTACTTTTGTCAAAACTGTTTTTAAACAGTGTAATTTACAAATCATTTTATGTACCGGTATTTAGTCTAATGTGTCTTACTGTCTACTGTGTGGTTTTAACTCATAGGGTCAGGGTCAGACTACCTTATCTCCTGGGATTAAGTCAGCCTTGCCAAAGCAAGAAAAATTATCTTTTAATTCCAAACGTCCTTCTAAATGAAATGAAAACCTATTTTGATATAGGGATTGTACAAATTTTTCCAAACTTGTTATATAAGCTTATGTATCGAGAACACTGAAATACGCCTACTTGATTTGCACCAATTTTCAGTCAGACGTCTGTGATTCTTGCAATTCCACTAAAACTAAGCCTTTTAAGTTTTATGATGTCAAAGACAATTACAAGTCATTGGCAGCATTGGGATAGAATTCTATGATATTGACAATCACCTCTTCAATAAACTACTTTTCCAATATTGACTTAAGGCCTGATGTAAATTCATTTGAAAATATAAACATGTTGTATTTATCTTTAGTGCACTTGTATTAACAAAACAGTTGACACAAGTTAATGTCGTTAAAATGTCAACTATAGTCATTCAGTCAGTTTGTATGTAATATGATATCAAATGAAATGAATTAAAAGTTATTTGTCAGATTTCTTTTCTGCACCATGTGGGTTATCAAGACTCCCCACACCATGCAATGTGCAATGAGGGAAATTCAAGCAAATATTACATTAAACTGACAATCAGTAAAAGACATAAGCATTCTAAAAAAATAACCAAACAATACTTCATTTTAGTTGATAGCGGGTGCAACGTTGGCACCAGAAGCACTAGCAAAGGTATCAGAATTTTCATACCTTGAGGAAGATTTGAACCCATGGCACCTTATCACAACAATATAACTTGCTATCTACTGGGCTATTCCGAAGGATTTTAACACTTGAACATTTATATGAGAATAGCAATTAAGTGAGTCAACTTAACAAATAAGGGTAAAGGTGATCAAGCCTAGAGAAATCACAATAAACCTAATGACACTGACATACATAACACCCAGTTTACCAATGTTTTGCTCCAATGGCTGTAAAGATCATTGCTATACCTATTTCCCTATTTCACATGATCAACTACAAATCATAACTTTTATAATTATCATAATTATTATCCATAATTTTAAGGTCTCCAAAAAACAATCTCTTTGTTTACTTTTTTTTTTAAACTTTTCACTATTTTTTTTAGTCTTTTTAAGCACTAGTTTTAATGTTAATAATTTTTCTTGTCTTGGAGAAGATTCAAATAAGGTTTAAGGTGACAAGCTTACTTGCTTACAACCAAGTGATTCAGTACCAGTATATTTGTGTTGGATTGTTCACCCACCAACAGGGAACGTGAGCTGGGTTTAGACCGTTGTGAGACAAGTTAGTTTTAACCTACTGGTTGGGAACTCGCTTACAACCAAGTGATCCAGTACCAGTATATTTGCCAAGTGTTGGATTGTTCACCCACCAACAGGGAACGTGAGCTGGGTTTAGACCGTTGTGAGACAAGTTAGTTTTACCCTACTGGTTGGGAACTCGCTTACAACCAAGTGATCCAGAACAGTATATTAAGGATCAGTGAGAATAGAATCGTCTGCTAGATGATGAGGTGCCAGTAATGAACCAAAATTCTGATGCTGTGCCACTGCCAATGCTTCAGTCCAGCGTTAAAGGGACAGATGCACCATTTTCAGGGTTGATTTGACTCTTAAATATATGTAAATAGTTAGCCAGAAGTACTAGATATGTACGAAAATCACATAATTCCTTCATCGTTTAGACTTTCAAATGTGGACAGTTCTAAAAACACATGGATTTGAAGACTCAAATTTTGATGGTGAGCTGTGAACACTACTACTGATTGGCTTAGCTAAGAATAATTCCGGTTTCTGAGATTAAACTATTATTGGTCAAAAAAATCAAAAACTGTACCTATAACAAGGCCTAATCTTATTTTATAACTTTTTTTTAGTGACTTATCATGTCCTTACAGAATTGATAGTCTACACATCAACTTTACTTGAGGAACCATTAAACCCCAAATTTTTTAATTTCATAGGAAACGTTGACAAAATTGTTTTAATTCATGGGGATTTTAGTAGGAAGTATTTTAATCTACCATTCCTTTCCATGAAAAGCGTGATTATATCAAATATATTTCAAATCCTTGTACACCAAAACTCTAAATTCACTACAACTACAAGCAAGATTTAGGACCTGTCTTTCATAGCAAAGTCTAAGATATTGCACTTAATCATGATGATAATTGAAACTTTTAATTTAGATGGTAGATGTCTATAAGATGGTCTATAAGAAGTCTACATCAAAGATCTAATTGGGCAAAATCTAAAATATGAGACAAAATAGTTCAACATCAAGCCTTATCAAAATTCTACTTCAAAATCAAAAGTCTAATGGCATGGGGCACAATCTCAAAAAGCAAACACAAATTCAACATCATATAAAGGGCTCTTTTTTTATTCAAAAAGGCAGACAAATTAATTCAACATTAACATTGTTCATTTCACAGTGTCAAACACAGCTGCTCAAGTTACCAGTTGAAATATAGACCCTGACGAGCCCCTGGGCCAACTATGCCTAAAACATGAAAACACAACACTGGGTCACCGAGGACAAACCTTAAAAAAACACAGCAACTTGCACAGTAATGTCAGCTACCTTTGACATTCTAAGCCGTAGTCCTCAATGACCTATAAAACCAAACTCACTTGTCAATTCGTACAAAATATATCCCTGAGGTTTGCCAGTTTGAATAACACTACGACTATGTCAACACTTATCAAAACTGTTTCCATTTTGTTTGTTATTGACGAAAACAGTAAAAAATGTAGGTCGAATAAAATCACACTTTTGCTAACACTTATTTACTGTTTTCATCCATATTTCACACATTCCGATGTTCTTAGTAATTCGCACAACCATTTCAATTTGTAAAATACTTACATGTCAAACAGAATAAGGACGAAATCATCATATTTTTGGGACGACTTGGTCCCAAAGGAGACATTGGATACAGGCCATCTATTTTAGGTCCACATGTTGAGCCTATGCTAATGAATGACGTCACTGGAAATAAGGATGGCGTATAATTTTTCAACCGTAACAAAACAAAACAAGCGAAGCGAAAATTAACATAATGGGGAAATTTGACAAATAAACCAAAGAGAAATATTGCTAATGATAATATGTAGCCTAAAGAAACCATAAAGCTACATAATGACGCAGTAAATCCAAATATAATGGCTGGCAATAAATAAAAATATAGGTTACACAGAACGCCCCCTTTGGCTAAAAATAAAAGTATGGAAGTCCATTGAGGCATTGAAAATTAATAAATTACGGAGTTGTCTCCCTTGAGTTCATTGTAGGCTACTGAACCACATCAATTTATTTTTTCCTCTTACACATAAATAAATCAGTATTATCAAAATAGGCTTAGATAAATGAAAGGTATTCAAATTAAAGGGATAATGAAACGATTTTTAAAAATATTTTGTAAAGGTTTGTAAAATAACAGGTTGCAAGGCTGAATTAATCTAAAGCTGGCAGGATCGTTTCGCTTTGCTGCAGCATCAAATAAAAACCAGGCCCGTAGCTAGCCCAGGGTCTCAGGGGACCAAATTTTTTGAAAGGGGGCTCAACTTTAGCGTTCAACAGGTCATATTTAAGTCATCTAAATTTTCTGGCTCCCTCTAGCTTCTTGACATTATGAATATTCATTACCCTAGCCTCTAATATGTAGTTAACCTCGAAACACAATAGGAATACACGTATATAGTAGTTTCGGACGTGTTGAGGAGACAATGTGAATATTTACTATCAGGTTCCCTACAAAAGTGAATATTTCGGCTGTGTTGAAGTACTTACCGTACTTCTATAATTTCCAATTCTTAGCATTATACACGGGACCTGTTAGACCCCTTGACAATTCTGTGTCTCTCCCCCCACCTCCTTCGCCGATGTCACCTAAAGGTTGCTGCTATTATAACCATTAGCAGTCTGTACCACTCATAATTAAATCATAACTTATATAAGAGTTGAATATCTCACTCACTCGGAAAGATTCGCGAGCGGATAAAACTGTCATAGACTGACAGTTCTTTTGAAAAGTTTTCTAATTCTTTTATGTGTACTGATCGCATAGATTTGCACCAAAATAAATGACAACAATTTGAATATTTGGATGTGGTGGGGGAGGGGGTGTTGCAATCCCAGGCAAGTCTTATTTCTTGATGGGAGGGTGAGGGATGGTGCATGCCCTCATGGAAACACCACTAGCTATAGATGGAATGTATAAAATTCTATACTGAATTTGTTGGATTGTTGGATGTAGTAAAACGTCTACCTGTACAGCGGAGGGCTGTCTAATTGGCAACGTATATAGTTCATCAGTTACAATAATCTTCACAATAAGAACTTCGTCTTATACCTTGACTGCCATATCTACTAGTCTATAGTAGCCTATCTAGTATCACCGAATGCAACAATTTGACTGGATTGTACTCCAGCGAATACAGCCAATTAGAACCCTCGACAGAAATACATGTACTGTAAACAATATTGCTTATGGTTTAGACACTTTCGAGGCTTGGCTGTATTCGCTTGCGTTCAATCCAATCAAACCACTCCACTACAACCTTCCGTATTACAAGAACAGTAGCTATTGCAGTCAAGGTATAAGACGAAGTTGATAATAGTTTGACATTATAAAAATAACCGAAAAAATAAACCACACGGCGTTTATTGGCCTAAAAACTATGTGGTAATTTGTAGCAGATCGTGTCGATGTAATATAAAAATACATTATATCTAACACGTTTCCTAGATTTCCTAGAGCAACACATCACGATTTATTATGGAATGATAAACCCCAGCCGATAATTACTGAACTAATTGTGTTATAAAACGTTTCATAGTATATAGACCTATATTGTATTATATAAGCTATATACAACAGCGCGTATCACATTTTCATCTGTATGCCTAGCGCCAAACTGAAACTGTCACGGGTGTGGCACCAGGCAGGGTATGCTTACTCTTCTAGACACCTCATTCCACTTTTCATTATGAAATACTTTCTCATGAATGATATACTTCACGGTGTGAAAAGTTCATTAGCTGCTATGCTATCAATGTTTCGCCAATATGCTGTTTAAATTTCGGGTTTCGTTTTGCGGTTCGGATTGTTAGTACTTGGTTTATTTATTGAAAACTGTCATTAGCAAGTCGAACACGATAATTTCGTATGATTATCATCTTGTCATTAAAAATTTTGCCATACCAAATAATCGTGTCCAACTAGTCAGCAAATCTCTTGACTCAATGCCAATGGACTCCAGGTTGGATCCTATACAGGATCCACCGAAGCCTTATTACTGGTGCAAGGGAAGTAACTCTAATTAATGACGCAGACTACAAATAATCAATTGATAAGGGACACAACTCTATCAGAAATTAAATGAATTGTGTTCTACGTCCTACTTTTCTGCACCGTATGGGCTAATGAAGACGGGCAACGCCATGCTGGGTGCAATGAGGAAAATTTGCCAGGACAAGCATTAGCCTGCTATATTTCGATTTCCAAATATCGAGGGATCTGCAAAGTGCACAACCTACAGAACACGGGGCTTCTGTTTATTGTCCCATCCGAACACAACATTACAACAAACCATTTTTAATCAAGTTACTCCTGTCACCAATGGGTATTAATTTCTCACACTTTAGCTGGGTTTATTTTTTGTTTTATCAACTATCAAACCAACAGTGCAGAATATTTAAATGAACCATCCAACTACCAACTATTACAACTACAAACAAGTACCTAGTTTGCCAGGTCCGCTGGAAGCAAATGTTAACTTGTCATGTAACAACCAAGTGGCTTTATTTTAGGGGTTATAGTACACTTAACCAAAATGGCCCCAAGTCAAAAGAAAAATGCCCCAAACTGGTTTATTGAAGACAGAATGGGAAATTAAAATAAACTATTCAATTTTTTTATATCTATTTATTAGAAATTCTAGAAGTCAATCTTGATTTATTTTTGCACATGGCCTAAATCATATTTTCCACGAATACATCTCAATCTTACTCCGGGCAAATCAGCCACACGCCCACCTCGCACTAACACCATACTATGTTCCTGCAAATTATGTCCTTCTTTAGGAATATAAGCAGTTTGTTCTTTACCATTGCTTAGCTTCAATCTCACACATTTACGATTAGCTGAGTTGGGTTTTTTAGGCTTTTTAATAAGTGTTTTCAAAACAATTCCTCGGAGAAGAGGCCTTCCAGCTAAAGGACCTTCTTTTTGGGGCTTCTTTTTTCGTGCACGTTGTCTATGCATCTGATTCAAAGTTGACATATATCTACTGAGGATAGAAGTGCCATTACCTGGATTGGAAATAGCTGAAGAGGAAAAAAAATGAGTTGAGTTGAGAAAATGATTATTATCTGCTACTAAACGTGTTTATAAATTGGACACTGAAATAGGCATCAATGTCAGCATCAAGGTTTTGAATTAGCTGAGATAGAAACTTAAATTTGAGGAAACTATATTCGTTAATTTTTTAAAATTTACCCAGGCCTAGAACTGGTATAACCGAGCAGGAGAAGAAAGCAATGCTTACCCTCAGTGTAGCGTAATAAGGGAGAGGGCCATTGGGCCATGGCCTACCCCTGGGCTGGGGCCTGAGAGTGAGGTAAAGATTAAGCCCTTTCTACTAAATACCGGTACTTAAAATTCATCTCATTCTCAGGCCAGCTGAAATCTGTTGCTTCTGGCAGTCCCAAGATTCCTGGCCTCAAGGGGCATTGGGTCTTTGGTGGGCCTCATGGAGAGGCGATTCTCATTGTTGGCCCCCTCCTCAGGCACTTTCTATTCGCCCCTGCCTGAGGCTGAGCCTGATGACATACCCCCAATCACATTGCAATGACATTGATTGACAATAAACAGCACTTTACTTTACCTGTTTTGCTAGATGTTGTGGCTGCACTTGAAATAAGCGATAGACCTCTTCCTAAGAGATGACCACAGAGAGATGTACATGATCGTAAAAGATTAGCCATTTCTATCTTTTATTCCTAAAAAAAACAGAAAATGAGAAAACATTTATTTATAACTAATTCGGAAATAGAACCACGATTCTGAGAGCATTTTTCACAAGCTGGCTATAGATCAATATTGGATCTGCAATATTAGATTATACAAACCTGTTACGAGTGCACTATTACATTATTTTCATGTAAATTAAAGTGCATGCATTGTGATGAAGGTCGCCCATAAAAATTATTTATATAGAGTTATGTCCCTTCCCGCAGGACCTATCATTTAAGCTATGATTTTAACTTTTTCAGTTAATTTGTTTGAATTCATTTGCTTTCTACTGTGTTGCATTCAAATACCAGTTACATTTGCTCATTTCCAAACCAAATATTATTCGAATTCATGATATATTGAGATGGAAAAAAATAAAAAAATATATCAATAATCGGTCCCTTTTCTGCTAAACATTAGGCCCACATTAAAGTTTTTTTCGCAGTGAGCAGCTGTAAAATTACACGGTTGCCCAAGTTAAAACTGTTTGTCAGTCGCCAGAAAGTTCAGAAACAAGAAATGGAAGGACACAAGAAATATTATTCCTTGGTATCCGGCGGTTGCGCTGGTATTTATGCAATGTTATCTTTTGGAAAGTTGGATCATAGACTTTTAATAGCCCTACTAACTAGTTGCCCGCTAACCAAGCGCTACAGACTGTCCAGGGTTCACCTTCGGACTTCCCCTGTCAATGTCAATGTCAATGTCAAGATTGAGGGACTGACATGGAAAGATCTTTTAGTCGTACTGATGGGCCAATGAACCAAGGCTTCTTGAGCCCAGCAGCTGCCCATGCCCAGGCCAAATTTCCATCATTGCACACTGCATGGTGTTTTGCGACTTCATTAGCTCATTCAAGTTCAGGAAAGTAGATGTTAAACTCCATTTCCTTTCATCTCAATGACTTTTTTCCCATAGGTTTTGTGGAGGTATCAATAATGCATCCAATGGATTTGATAAAAACCAGATTTCAGATCCAGAGAGGGCCAGAAGATCCAAATAGATACACGTCTCTGAGAGATTGTTTCAGTAAAATGTACAGACAGGAAGGGTTTGTATATTAGCTTAGATTTATCAGAGAATAGGTATTACATAGGGTTACAGGGTGAGAGCCAACATCGGGTTTACCCTCGGAAGCACTGGCGCAGGAATCAGAATTTTCCTTACCTTGAAGAGGATTTGAACCTACGGCACATAAACTCCTAGCATATGGCAATCCAACTTGCTTCCAACTGAGCTATTCCACTGTTCTTATTAGCCCAAACTGAAGCAGAATAGCAAAACGTAAAACCCCATTTAATTTCATTTGAGTCTAACCCTCTCCAGACTCTAGTTACAGCCTTGACAAGGTCTTTGATTGTGAGGGTCATTATAGTGCCAACTTTCAACCCCTTCAAGTTAAAAATTTGTAAACTAACCGAATCAGAACATGGTTATTAAAGATTAAACCTCAAAATGAAATTATACCTTTCAGGGCTTTATCATTTTATAAAGGTATATTGCCTCCAATTTTAGCCGAGATGCCAAAAAGAGCTGTGAAATTTTTCACATTTGAAGAATATAAGAAACTGTACAGTTTTGGGGACCATTTATCTACACCAGTTGTAAGTTTCTGTATGATTTTGTCTAACATAGTAAAAAAATACTTTTTCACCTGATGATGACAATGTAAGTTGTTGGAAACGCTGTGAACTAAAAAAGTTTTTGCAAGTTATCTATTTGTAACAGCAGAAAAATGTAGAAAACTCTTTGCGGTCTTGCGTCTCATGGCAAAAATGCCCAATATCATTTTGCTTGTCTGTATTTTAGGGAAATACTAGAATATTGAGGCATTGTAGATCTACTGGAAAATATGAATAATATAACAGCAGAAAAATGTAGAAAACACTTTGTGGTCTGTGTCTCATGTCAAAAATACCCAATGTCATTTTGCTTTCATTTAGGGAAATACTAGAATATTGAGGCATTGTAGATCTACTGGAAAATTTGAATAATTAGTAACGCTTATTATAGAAATGCTAAAAAATGTTAATATACAATCCTTTTAACTGTATATTATTTTTACCTAGATCTTGACCCTGGCAGGATTATCCTCGGGATTAACAGAAGCTGTTTTTATTAATCCCTTTGAAGTGGTTAAAGTGACGCTACAAGCTGACAGACAGAATATTCACAAAGTAAGTCCTTTTAGACCATTTACATCATGTTCAGAAGAAATATTTAAACTTAACCAGGTTGTTACTCAGAGTTTCACACTAGTCTGAGGTCTATGCCAAATCTGGCTATAGGTCTGAGCTATATTTAGCAGGGAATTCCTTTGGAGAAATCCCAGCTCATTCAAACTTAAGTTTGTTGATATTATCATAAGATCCTGCTGTATATTTTCAGCAAAAGAGTACCATACAGACAGCACGAGAGATAATCCGAGCTCATGGTTTTGGTAGTCAGGGTATGTTTAAAGGGTTAACGTCTACGTTAGGAAGGCATGGTGTTTTTAATATGATATATTTTAGTTTCTATTACAATGTTAAAGATATAGTCCCTACTTTAGAGGTAAGATATATAATAGAGATTTCTTGAAAGTATCCAGGATATCACTGTCAAAATAAATAAGGTATTTGTGTGTATAATGTGCAGTTAAAGAAAGTGTTAAGACATGACTACTGCAATGGTCGTTAGATATTATTAGCAGCTTTTACCGTAGTGATGTCATCAAACGTATAGTTTTAGCAGAAGTTTTAGAATCACAGACATTTGCCTGAAAAATGTAATGGTGCAAATTGATGATATCGGTGCCATGATGCTTATAAAAGATAAGAAAACCTCATTACAATCCCTTTTATAAGTGGTATAAATGGTAATTACAGGAACCAGTATTAGAGTTTTTAAGAAAGTTTGCTATTGGTCTAGCAGCAGGTACCATAGGATCCTGTATAAACATACCTTTTGATGTAGCTAAGAGTCGAATTCAAGGTCCACAACCTGTACCAGGTGAAATTAAATACAGAACTTGTTTTAAGACTATTCTTACTGTTTATAGAGAAGAGGGGTAAGTTAGTTTATACACCTTGTTTCTTCTACGTGAGTTACTGAACTTTGTGGCCCCCATTCCTGTTGATCCACAGGGTATCAATTACCAAATTGAGATTGATTATGAATGGCAGACTACCGATCAATAATCGATTAATAATCACAATAATTCAATTCGATTTTCGATTCTGGTTGAAACAATTATACTAAATCTTTGAAACATTACCAATCAATCTGAATCTATTAGACTAATATACAGTGGCCATCTTGTCAGAAGCAGTATCCGCTACAGAAGTAAACAATAATTTCCTCATGACCATTGACTGGTCAGAGTAATTTCATGAGTTTATGTTATGAACAAAATGTGCGATATATTTTCAAATGATATATTCCAGGGATGTTTTTGATTGATTTCTATGTGTAATTTCAGGTATCTAGCTCTATATAAAGGATTATTACCTAAAATAATACGACTAGGACCAGGAGGAGCTATAATGTTGTTAGTTAATGATTATGTTTTAACCTGGATGAAAACTAATCTGTGATTGTTATACATTGTGATACAAACTTATATTTATACTTGTATTTCAAATTATATTGGTCCATGTGAATTGGATTTTATACTTATTCATAATATTTGATTAAAGATGGGTTTCCTTATTTTTTTAGTGTCAAATTAAGCAAACTATTTGATTAACTGGTGTTCCTAATGAATTATCATGTATTCTTATTCATATCATTATGTTCTTATTGCATATGATTAAGAGTTTCAACCTATCATAAATGTCCATGTATGTTCAGTCTGGATAAACAAGAAAAACCACTTTTTGACTTTTCTTGATCGGTCACTTATTGGAATTTCTGCTGGTAATTCTCTTCTAATTTAGCTAATTATGGACATGTGAGACAAACTGGTATTTTTCCAAGTCATTAGAACACCTCCACTTTCTATTCATGTAAGTATTAGCATTTTCATTTTCATAAATGAAAATAAGGGAACCCATCTTTAAGTAAGTTGATGGTATTTTGGAAGTTTTTATATTGAGTGTTTGAGGTTTGAGCAGAGACTATAAGGATATATGGTTCTGAATGTACAATGTAGTGATTGACTTTGACGAAATTTTAATCAAAACTTTGAATTTTGAATAAGTTTGTTTGTTTATTTTATGTATAATTTTTAATGTTTTGAATGTCAAATTCAGAAGTATAACATACAGCTGGCTAACTGTATGTTTAAATATGTTACTCAATGGAGAGAAAAAATTTTCTTTTTTGAATGTACAAAACTGCTCTTATTGTCTGAGGAAATTGAAAAATTATTTGAATTTTTTCGATATTTTCGAAAATTGGAATATCAGCCTCAAAATAATACTTATAGTCTTAGAATATCTTTGCGTTGATAAAAATATGCTCTTTTGTAAGTTTGCATTGAAAAGAAACTCATTTCCTTCCTAGAAATTTCAACCCCAAAAAGTCACAAATTTTGGCTGAAAATGGACAGCTGTAAAGCAAATTTTGAATTTTGTGCTTATGTTTATATTTTTATCAAAGCAAAGACATTTTAAGACTAAAAGTACTATTTTGAGGCTGCTATTCCAATTCTCATAAAAATAATAGAAAAAATTCAAAAAACTTTTTACTTTGCTGGGACAATAGTGATATATAAGTGCCTTTTATATTAACATGATTTGTTTCTGTGTTTAAATAGTGCTCAATGCCGTGTATGCTTATGTCAGTAAGTATAAGTAGTTTGTAATCTAGTCTTTCGTGTTTCCTGTTAATTTTAAAGGGATTGTAGAGACGTTTTCTAAAAATGTTATGTGTATTGGGGACACTGATAGCATTAATTAGCCCTATTCCAATTTTCAATTAAACGTCTGTGGTTGCTGCAATTCCACTAAAACTAGGTGTTTGATGACGTCACTAATTGCAAAGAGCCCTATGCGATAAAGCATATTTTGCGATTAGTGATGTCATCAAACACTTAGTTTTAGTAGAATTGCAGGAACCACAGATGTCTGATTGAAAATTAGAATGGTGCATATTGATGTTATCAGTGTCAATATTTGACATGCAAAATTTGTAGAAAACCTCATAACTAATAATTATGGCTTGTGTTTAATTTATTTTGTTTAGTATTAATATCATTAAGTAATAAACCATTGCGTCTTATTTTGTAGAATTTGATGATTTAATTGTAAAATCAAAGTGAATACTTATCCAATAAGAACTCAGGTTGGAAAAATTCCAATATTTTTATATCTCAATGGTAATGTTATTTTTTTAATCATGTGTGTTAAATTCATTTATTGTGTTGATGGGTTTTACTTAATTTGTTATGGAAATTGTAATAAAGAAGACTAATGTTGAAAGTAATTTTGTTGTGGTCTGATATTTGAATAGTTTCAAGAGTTACTTCCCTTGTACAGATGGGGAACACAAGGCTGTGTATATTCATTGTAAAATGTGGTAAAGATATGTTGTGTAGCCTCTGTTTCTTTAAGGAATTAAACAATCATAGGAATGAGGATGACATGTAAATCATTCATTCATGGAATTTGATATTCCATTATCTAATATTTAATATCCCCCTCTCCTCTCTCCCTATTCCCATTGGGTATCACTGACGAGGGTAGTATGAAACAATCAAGTGCCGACAACAAAAACGTTCGTGTACGTTAAGGGGCATAAAAAGCATAGGTTTTTTTTTTGATGGAACTGCAGGAACTACAGATGTCTGACTGGAAATAGCAATGATGCAAAGCGATGCTATCAGTGTCTCTGCCACACATAAAAAGTTTAGTAAACCTCTTTACAACCCCTTTAACAATAAACAATGCTATGAGACGTAATGTAATGCAGACACTGATAGGATACTTTGTATATGATGATAAAAGATGAATGCTTGAGATCAGGTGATGAATAATGAAGTAGAGGAAATATGTAATGGCTGTCACTGAGAATTTACAATCCATCAAATTTCTAATAACTACAAAGACATATTCCTGTCAATCTCCAGCCTCCACTCTATAAATTTACTTTTGTTTTGGCACTTCTTTTACCAACTAACCATAAAATAGGCACCCGAAATATGCGATTGTAGAAACAAGCACGTGCGTCAATCCAGTGCACCTGCCTCACAATTCATGAATTATCTCCCCTGGATAATGTTTTTGTACTAGAAAACTCGCCTATCTGATTTGATAAGCTCGTGATTCGATTCTTGATAGACAGAAATTTGTTGAATTTGTCAAATAACCGAATTTCATCTTTTGGTGATTAGAATCGCAGTCAATTTGTGAATCAACTATAAAGATAATAGAAAACATATGAAACGAAAGATTTAGGAGATTTTCTGCCCCTTGAAAAGAATACACAAATGTTCCAAAGGCATATCATAAATAGTTTAAATTTATTTAAGAAGTAGAAAAATATCTTAGTTTAATAACTTCAAAACAATGCTTTTGAGAATCTTATACTACAGAATTTTTCAAACTTTTAGAAATTTCTTAAATAATTTACTATATGTATCAACTCGAATTTCAACCATTTATTTACATTTGATATGATTGAAATTATATATATCATTTTATATGAATGATCAGAGGCAGTGGTGTTTCTAGGGGCCGAGCAGGGGCAACAAATTTTTCAAGGGGAGGGGGGGGGGGGGGGGGGGGGGCCATTCTTTCACTATGCAAAATGACCTGCATCTTTTCCTTAAATATAGTGAATTTCTTTTTGTTATTTTCTGGACTGGAGATATAAGCTG